TGCAATGCACGCTGCTGAAACTTCCGCTGCGTCCCCATGAGTATGGAAATAAAATTTATTTTCTTGGAGGAGATAACTAAAATATCATAAAAAATAAGGCGAACACTGGCTGCAGTCAGGCGGTCACCCCAGGGAAGCGTACCGGATCCCTGTGTGGTTCAACACAACAGAAAATTCAGGAACAGCCCCTCAGCCCTAAGTAACCCGCGTACAAACTAGAAAAGCGTGAACTGGGTCTTTCTCTCGCCTCTTGTTGGCTTTTTCAACGTTGGAGACCGTCTGTAGTTTGTCTCCGCAAGTACTGAACTGTGGGAATTTTCGCAGGCGGGAGGCTGACAACAGTTGAACGGTTCGCTGCTGCTCACCATCGATGGGGCNTGTGGGAATTTTCGCAGGCGGGAGGCTGACAACAGTTGAACGGTTCGCTGCTGCTCACCATCGATGGGGCCACTTGACCCATTCGACCTTGATCAACGTGGCCTACTCTACTGTAATGCTAGTTAATTAACCCAAAGAACGACCACCGAATTATTACTTATTTATTTGGATTTTTTTTCTCGCTGATGCCCTCCGTTCATCTCCCTTCCTGTATGTTTCGATGCTGTTGCCATGAAGAATATCGCAAGAAAGGGGATTCACCAAAACGCTCGGCGTGTTCGCGGAACCCTTCCACCGCCCCCAAAAGCATTTTGACAAAAGGATAATACATTTCTTAGGTGGTTAAATAGCCGTTCCCCGTCGCTCCAACGAAAATTAAGGTTCAAGCAGCCCTCTCCACAGAGGGGCGGATGTCTGCAATATTTATCTTCTTTGGCGTGGGAACTATTTAACAGTTGCTTCTAGCCTGCACTTGAAAGATATTTCCCTCCATCTCCGAGTAGTTTCATCCGTCGCCGGGGTGCAGCATCCCCTGGCTGCCTCAGTGGCTCGGGTCAACGCCCTGGCTGCCTCAGTGGCTCGGGTCAACGCGGGCTTCCCGATTTAAGGAATCCCTGAGTGATAGATATGTCATGGTGACAATTTCGCAACTTGGGCAGGCCCCCCCTGCGTCTTACCATCCTTATATTCACGGAGTTTACGTCAATTTGAGGGGGCGAAACAACATAGATAACGCAGATGAGTTCCAAAACAGGGCCTCCAGATTGGCGCGACCAGCAAGCTCACCTCGATCATTGCTCGCCGCGCTTTTTGCAGTTTCGGCGGTCGTATTTCTTGCTTATCTGTGCAGTNTCGGGTGGCGAAGAAAATTACGACTCAGAAAGCACATGCAGCGCAGACTCACCTGCAGAGGCCTCCCCAGAAGGCCAATCTGTTATGCTCGTTCAGCTGGGTTCTGCTGCTGGAGATAGTGAGGGTGGAGATATGCAAACGCAGCAAGGAAGTACGTTGCCTACGGATCCAATAGACACAGCCTCTGTATCTTCTGGACTAGTTGTATCGAGAGCAGCAAATCCGCAACTGGAGACACAACGGAGGCGAACAGGTGCTAACAGGAAGCGAAAAGGGCAGCCCATCGTGGAGAAGGAGGCTAAACAGTCTACACGTGGCACACCGTTTGCGGAGACTCCCCTGCAGCCTCCGCCTCCCCCTCTCGACACTGGTCTGGTTTCAGTCAGTGACTCCGTCTTGCTTGGAGATGAAGGCCCCTTGCTCCAAGACGTTTGGCTCTTTGATGCAGTTGGCTCGAGGCTCCCGAGATGGGGAGGTGACTCTGCGACACCTTTTGTGCAGACTCCCCTGCAGCCTCCGCCTCCCCTTTTCGATCCTGAGCTCGATTCACCTGTTCATTCTCCGGTCTTTGAAGATATAGACGTATTGAGCGGAGATGCTTGGCTTCTTGATGATGAACTACTGCACTCCACACCGGATTCTTCCACTGCATCGATGCCCCCGGCATTGGGAGGTAGTTCTGTGGGGCCCGGCGCTGGACCAGCCCACGGGAACGCTGATTATGTGCTGCCCTCAACGACGTCTGGATTGCAAGAACCTAGTGAAGATAGAGGCAACGAATGGCCCCTATCTGCTGGCGGTTCAGGCTACCAAATGCAACAGGGACTACCTGCCGGAGCTGGAACTCTGCACAGTGGGCCTTCTCACGGGGCAACACCAGTGAGCCTCTGAGATATCAGACTATATTGCTAACTGGGAGGAGCACATCGGTTTTCTTTTCCGTGACATTTTTGCTCCCTTCTTCTGGCAACGGTTGCTTTGCAGCCCGTTGAATGTGTGATGTGTTGTGCACCGGCAGGCGACAAGGGGATCTCCTCAAGCACACACAGCAGAAGCGCCGGCTGCTTCCAAAGAGGGAAAAGCCACCAGCTCTAAAGCAACACCTGCAGGCTCCTTGCCGTCTTCGTCCACGGCATCTTCTGCCTTGCGTGACCCTTCCTCAGGAGTCACGCCGTTTCAAGGAGTTGGATCAGCTGAACAGGTGCGAGCTGCTGCATGTCACGGCAGCGCGAAGTAGGCTTGTGTNTTCAAGGAGTTGGATCAGCTGAACAGGTGCGAGCTGCTGCATGTCACGGCAGCGCGAAGTAGGCTTGTGTTATGGGCCTCCACCACTCGTTGGGTTATAGTGACTGCAGCAGCACTTTCTACAGTTCACGTAACTGGGCGGTGGCAATCTAACTTGGAAGTAACTGAAGTGCTAAACCAAATGGAAGTGCTGCTGTTGTGGTGTGCTTACTTCAGTCACCATCTATGGCAAACCTATTATCTGATACATCCGCCACTCCCTACTTCAGCTGGCTCGAAGGTGTGTATCCAGGGCTTCCTGACAGCATCCTGGTGACGCATCCGTTTTACCGTTACCCGGACTCTAAGCCGCCACCCAGCACCAGATGCTTTAGTGCATCCATAGCAGTGACGAATTCCCCACTTCAGAGGAGCCCATACCCACTGCTTTTTCAGTGCAGGAAAATAATGAAGAAGTCGTCGCTGTCCGCGGAGGACTTCGAAAACCTTCTTTTCCACGCAGAACGCCTCTGTGGATATGCAATCGGGAAAATGTCACTAAGCTACCGAGGCAATCAAGCGATGTGCGCCAGAGAAACTCTCGGAGTGGTTTTTCTTGTCATCGATACTCTGTACTGTGCAGCAAAAATATTGGGGGAACGCTCGATGAAGGAGCTTTGGTGGCCTTGGATAATTCGTCGCATAGAAGGTGTAAGGTACACTCCCAGCGCAGTGATACTGTCGCTTAGCAAGTGCTTGAGGAACTTAGACGTCGCACGCACGCTGTCTGCAGCGCTAGAATACTACAGAAGAGGCGAGCGTCCTCCGCCTCGCATGGTGATCGGCTTGAAGGAAGCGCTATTCTGTGAACAGTGCCCTTCGTCGAAGTTCAATCAAGAAAAGTGGGACTTATGGAGGGAAGACGTGAGGGGCTGGCGCCGACACATACAGCTGATGTTGGCCGAAAGTAAATGAGCAACAAAAAGCTCGACAAGCTGATGTTGCTGAAGTGGTGAGTGACTATCGCAATGAACTCGGCTGCCTCAGTGCTCATTCTCGGATGACATATGAGAATCATGTCATGCGCCTGAGTTCGACTATTTGGGAGGCTCAGGCGGCTCATGATGTTGAACTGAAGGGTCAAACTGCAGCAGTTTCGTGCGTGGGTACTGCTGCCTGTCTAGGGCTGTGCTGCCCCGCTTCCGGCCAGACGCACGTCACTTCCAGTCATCTAGCTGTAACTGATTGCATCTCTAAAGTGAGAATACGCCGATAGTGAAGGAACGAGCAGGATCTGTAAATAGCGGCTTTACCAGAAGCTGATATTAAACGAATTTCAACTCCCGCGGTTGGCTCCTGAAGGCCGTGACAACATCAAACATTTCTCCACAGTGTTGGTGCATGCATCAATACGTGGGCCGGGACTTATGCTTGCATGTGTTGCTGCCATTATGCAGTAGTTGGAACAACGCGTTCCGCAACACATGACATTCCGCCCCGTCTCTGCACTGGCCCCAGCGTTGTGCGCGTGTATGGCGAGGACGCCTGCAGATTGGGGGGGAGGTCATCTGCTTTATGGCAACTCTTCTCGTAAGTAGATTTACTTCCCTGGAGCTCAGGAAAGTTTTTGGCTAAGACTGGCGACGGTCATTGCAGCTGCAGATGGAAACTGAGTGTGGCGACGGTCCTCAATCTTAGCTGAGGACGGTCGGGAGTTGGGATCTGCAGAAGAGCCAAAGGCCTGCCGGTAGGCATCTTGCGTACTGCGTTGCAAAGATTTTGGCTGGTGCGGAGAAGAGTAGGCTCCTCATGGGTTGTAAGGCGCTCTGCTGCAACTAGTGCTGCAAGGAAATTTCGGATGCCAGCCCAGCATAGCCTACGGCCGACGATTCTCGGATGATGCTGGGTGTAGCGGGGGCCCTCGATCTTAGCTGAGAACAGTCAGGAAGTGAGCCAAAGGAATAAAATACGACTTTCAAGAACGATATAACCTTTTTTGCGCCTCCACATATTCTACATCCAGAAGCATAAAGACGTATCCCGGTCCGGAGAGGGGTCGGCCCCTCTGCATCGCCAGTTACTGCAACTTGCTGTGCACGGCAGTATGCAAGCGCAACAAATACGCTTTTTCTGCATTCTCTGACGCAGTAGGCAATTGTGGAACACCTATTTGGCGGTTAGTAGTCTGCCTTAACGCCAGTAGATTGACACGTACCGACTTCGGGCGCGCCATGCCGGCAGTGCAAATCTTCTTGTGAGGCGGTCCCACATGCAGGCTTACTCAAACGCTTTGTTAAGAGCATAAACACAGTACAAAACGATTGAAAACTTCCTTCGCCATTAGTAGCCAGTCTGCACGTCACTATATGTGCAAGAACCAACTGTGACACCTCGCACAACCAGTGGCCGTCAGAAACGCCTGAGGTGCGTCCTTCTTTTAGTTCTTGTTATCCTTTTCAACATTTCTAAAGCGTTGCAAATTGTTTCCCTGAGCAGCGAGTAAAAGGAATGTCCGACCGGTCGTGCGAGGCGCTGGCAAGCGTTTGGTTGCCAGCGCCTCGTGGGGAAGGCTTGTCAACACTCGCAACACCGAACAACGCGATTTACCCCACTCTGTGGCTAATCGATTAATCGAAGGAGACACGGCTAAATACGCATTTGGTATATNCGCGATTTACCCCACTCTGTGGCTAATCGATTAATCGAAGGAGACACGGCTAAATACGCATTTGGTATATTCACTGTTGATGCCGCCTTCTGCTTTTCGTCCACAATGCTTCACTGCTGGCGGTCTCAACGCCGTGAACCAGTGCACGGAGGGGAGTCCACTGGTGGGGCCGTGAACTCGTTGGAATCACTCTGGCTCGCCAAATTCATTTTGGAAGAAGGCTACTGAGTCTCCTAGTAAATCATTTGTTGAGCTTTGACGCAAAAAATGGCCGGCTCTCCTCGTGAAAGTTTAGTTTCGACCGGCTCTCTTCGTGCTGCGAACAACAGATCCTGCTAAGATGTTTCTTTCTTCGGACGTCGAAGCTGCATAATCGTTTCTCCTAACCTGTACTCAAACTTTATTTTTTGTGCTCTCCGAATAGTTTTAGCTGTCATAGGGGACAGGCGGTGACCCTGATTGCCTAGCACTGCCCACCATGGGCATTCAGCTTTGATAAGGGTATCTAAGACACACATGCTTAATGGTGACAGTTTCGCCGCTCCCGGACCCCCCCCTTGAGTTTTTTCATTCTTCTGGTCATGGGAATTCCGCCAGCTTGAAGGGGCAAATCGCCACACACTACAAAGATGAGCTGCAATACCATCCGAGGACGTCGCGGGCGTCTCCACAACCAAGGGAACGCTCATTGCTAGCAGCGCTGGCTGCAGTCTCGGCAGTTGTATTTATCGCTTATGTGTGTAGTTTTTCCACTGGAAAAAGCATAGCTGATTTGCCGCTTAACCGCAAACTGGCAGACCGCTGGGGTGGTGAAGAATGCGAGGTCTCCCAAGACTCGCAAGGTACAGGTTCATCTGCATACGCCTCCTCAGAAGGCCAGCAGGTTATGATCGCGCATCTAGAAGCTCTTCAGGCGCAGTCAGGAAATGTGGTGCCTACACCTTCAGCAGACGCAACCACCGCGGCGCCTGGCAAAGTGATTTCGGGAACAAGGAGTGCACAGCTTGAGACACGAAGGATGCAAGGACGTTTTAAGAGAAGGGGAGAAAAGCACACGGATCTGGATATGGCGGCTAAGCAGTCCAGNGGCTTGAAACGGTGGTTGAGGAGACCCCTCTCCAGCCTCCGCCTCCCCCTCTCGATCCTGGTCTCGATTCACTTATTGATTCCGTGTTGTCTGGAGCCACCAGTCCCTTTTCCGAAGACTTCTGGCTTGCCGATGAAACGCAGCTGCACCCCACCGCTGGTTCCTGTATTAGATCGAAGTCCTCGAGATCAGGAAGCGAGTCTGCGTCACCTGTTGCGGAGTCCACACACGAGGCTCCGCCTCCCCCGCTCGATCCTGGTCTCGATTCACTTATTGATTCCGTGTTGTCTGGAGCCGAGGATCCCTTGCCTGAATATTTTTTTCTCGACGATGAACTGCAGCAACACCCCTCCGTGGATTATTTCATTGGCTTGCGGCCCGCGGTGTTGGAAGATGCCTCGGAGACACCGATCGTGCCGGTTCCGCAGCGCTCTCCACCCGCTCCCGATCCTAATGTCGATACACATGCTGATTCCGTGTCGTCTAGAGTCGAATATCTCTCTTCCGAAGACGTTTGGATTCCCAATGGGGAGCCACTGCGCCCCACACCGGGTTCCTCCAGCGTTTCGATGTCCCCTGCATTAGCAGGCGACTCTGAACTATCGGGCGNTCCTAAGAGAGTCATAGAAGGGAGGAACCTCGGAAAACCGTCACTTGCTGACACGTCAGGCCACCAAATACAGCGACGACCACCTGTCGGTGCTGAATCCGCGTACAGTGGGCCCTCCCCCGATGCAGCAGAGGTGGGCCTTTGAGATGGATTCAGACCATATTGTTAGTTGACACTAAAACGTCCAGTGCGTGCTCCTTTTTGTGGTTTGCATTCGTGCGCATTGTGACAACAGATGGGCTGCAGCCAATCCAATGCATGCTGTGTTGTGTACGAGCAGGTGACAATGGGCCCTCCTCAAGCACTCACACCACGACCGCTCGCATTTCCGAAAGAGCGAATGGCCACCAGCTCTAAAGAGTCAGTTGACGAGTCCTTGCCGTCTTCGTCGAGGGACTCTCCTGGCTCGTGGCAGCTACCTTTGCGCGTCAAGCTGCTTCAATACAGTGGATCAGTTGTGCAGGTGCGAGCTGCTCTATGCGATTGCGCCGCAGAACAGGCTTATGCTAGAGGCTACCGGAAATTGTTTCATAGAGGCTCCATTAGTACGTTTTGTCATTCGCGTAGCTGGTTGGTGCCTTTCCAGCGTAGAGGCCACGGGACCGCAGTGGGCAAGACGGAAGCGTTGCTGTTGTGTGCTTTGTACAGTCGGCACGTGTGGAAGAGCTACCTACTGATGCAACCGTCATTTCCCACTTCAAGTGGCTCGGAGATTTGTTTCCAGGAATTCCTCTTGAGGTCTTGNTCCACCGTCGAAAGTGTTGTTGACCTCATTGACCAGCAAGCCAGGCCCAGCACTTGAAATGTGCCGAAAAATAATGAACAAGACTTTGCTGACATCGGAGGATTTTGAAGACCTTCTAAGACATGCAGAACGCCTGTGTGCATATGCAATCGCGAAAATGCGCGTGACCTACGTACGTCAGTACCCGATGTATATCAAAGACACTCTTGGAATTGCTTTTCTTGTTCTCGACACGCTGTACTGTGCAGCAGAAGTACTAGGGCACCACTCGAAGAAGCAGTCATGGTGGCCTTTGATCGTACGTCGCATTAAAAACCTAAGGTTCGTGCCAAATACATATTTCCTCAGTAATGAGGGGAGCCGTACAAATTCAGACATCGCACGCACGCTGGACACCGCGCTAGAGTACTATAGACGGGGTATCCGCCCTCCGCTTCTCATGGTGATAGGCTTGAAAGAAGAGCTATTTTGTAGACCGGGCTCATCCAAGTTCAGGGCCGAGCAGTGGAACGGATGGAGACAAGACGCCGCACAGTGGCGACTGTCCGTAGAGCCGATTGTGGCAAGGATCAAATTGTCAACAGTTTC